CCTCCTTTGCCATAAATGTTAATGATGGCGAAGGTCCCCTGTTTTTGAGGCAATACGTTTGGGTCGCGCATGGAACCCACCGCTTCATCAAGACCATAGGTTTGAATGACCTCTGATTTCAACGGAGATCCTCGTGTTTTAAGATTGTATGGCCCAGATGTGGTTTGGATGATCCAACGGTTGGGGACGAATCTAGAACACCTATAAAACGCTCATTCCTTTTATTTTGAAACTTTTACCTTTGCGAAAATTTCAATATTGCTTTCGAATTCTCAAGAATTCTTTGCAACTTTCTTCTCCGGTGAGTGGCAACTAGAGCTCCCGAGGGCATTTTGAGGATTCCGACGAACGAGACCTGTTCTTGAACTTAGGTAACACATTCCTTGCTTCTTCTTCTTCTTCCTTCTTAACTTTCAAAAAAAATCTTTTGAGATGGCCGCTGAGGGTTCTGTTGTGGTGGGGAGTGAAGAGGAGAGAGGTGAGGAGAGTTCGTCCATGAAGGAACCTATTCTGATATCGCCTGACGAACTGAGCAGGGCCATTAGGGTTGGGGAGAATATCTGGAAGCGTCCCAGCTTCCCCCGTAGACACATCCTTCAATGGGAGGTGTCCAAATGCCCATCTAAAATCACCCCGAAGCTGATAGAACGATGTATGAGCATTTTTAGGATTCCTCACGGCATCCAACTCATCCAACTCGAACCTTACGAGAGGGCCTACTATCCTAGGTCGGGGTGTGTAGTAGTGAGTGATCACCTATTTCGGATTGGGCTAAGGCTCCCTTTTCACCCCTTCTTCAGATTAGTGCTTAGGTCCTATGGGTTGGCCCCTACACAGTTCAACCCTAACGCATGGTCCCAGATGGTTGGGACATGGATGTTGTGGCGGAGGGTCAGCATTGGAGTAGATATGCCAATCAGCGTATTCCATTCCCTTTTCTTCTCAAAAATCACAGCCGGGGGGAGGCAAGCAAAGGCTGGTACTACCTGGCTCCCTGGGATCCCATTCGCCCTTTGTGGTCGGGCTGCCTTCATCAATCAAGGGCTGGAAGAACTCGTGGTTCTGGGCAGCTGGCCGATGGGACACCATGGAGAATGATCCTATGGCACCTCTGACAGTCCCCCACCACTTACTCTACTTGCAGTAAGTATTTTACCGATCTGATTTAACTTGACAAACTTCACTTATGGTTTTAATATTTCTGTTCTTTGTAGGCTCCCTTCCGAGGTGCTAAATAACAGAGGAGGAGTGGGATATCATTGGCCAGTTATACCAGACGCCTCTACCGGAGAGGAGTTACAAGGAGCTCATAGACAAGAACACTAGCAGGGGTAACTCACTTAGGCTTCGGTTCTTTCTTTGCTACCTTTTGAAATTACTTATCAATTTTCTCTATTGTAGAGGATTTCGAAAAGAAAAGGCCACCAAAGCCTGACCTCGCTACTACCCCCGGAGTGTGGCGGAGGCTAAAGCTCTGAAGACCAGCTCAGCTGCTTACAAGAAACAGTCGGAGCATCTGTTGACGTTGAGGAAGGAGCCTCCCTCGTGAAGAAGAAAAGAAAAACCGGCCTAGCTAGGGCCTCCACTTCCGCCTCGACAACTGCAATTCCTTCATTCTCTTCTGTCGATGTCGGAGTCATTGTGGCTGTTCCGCCCACTTCTCAGGCCATTGTGCCTATCACTGTGTATTTTACCGAGGGGATAAATAGGCAAAAACAGAAAAGACCCACTAGTACCTCGGCCAGGGGCAAGGTTACAAACTTTCTTGGGAGCAAAAATGATGATCTCCCCAAAGTCGTACTGGAGATGCTCCCCCTAGAGACCGTTTTGGCCGCAAGAGTCCATAGCAAGTACTGGACTGAAGATTGGGCCAACCATGCCTCTTCGTGTGAGATCAAGGACCTGCTAGCTGCAAATAACACCTGCGTGGCCAGGGCCCTAAGTATGGGCGCCGCGGCGGAGGACCTAGTCAAAGGCCTCTGTAAGTGAAATGATGAGTTGGAGGAGAAGTTGAAAACCTCAGAAACTTGGGAGGCCGAGGTGACGAAGGCAAAGAAGGAAGTGAAGGAGGTAGATGAGAAGTGGATAGAGATTTCCTTAAAGTTGAATGAGGTCGAGTTCCGAGCCAATCAGCTAAAACATGAGCTCCATGAGTCCGTCTCCCAAGTGGCGGCTCTGACCAAGAAGGTTGATCACGCCAATGAATATCAGTGGATGGCCTTGGAGGCCCTGGCTGAAGGG